CCCCAAAACCCCAAAACCCCAAAACCCCTTATGCTCTTCTCAATACTGAATACTTATTAATAGCTAGATTCATTAAATTGTCTAGCAAAGACATTTGAGAGCAAGCCCAGTGAATTGGTGCTTCCACATTAAGCAGTCTGGACATCTTTCTAGCTGATCCTTGCAATCGTCGATACACTTGTTGATTGCCTCATGATTCTTGCTATCCTTTGACTTATTCTGGGAGAATAGATACTTTGCTTCTCTTTCTGCAATAACTAGCTTGATCAAAGTGAAAACACTTTTCAGTTTGTCTTGCTTCTTATTGCATGAGACTCACTTGGAGTTCTCATCTCCGAACTTGCAATTGAGTAGTCTACAAGTGAAGCACCAGTAGATGATCCTTTCAGTCTCTATATTTGAGTAATCTAGTAAAAATTGCAAAGAATCATAGCAAATTTGTGCTTTTTCATCTATCACCGAAAAGATGTCATCTCTATGGATCAGCTCTGTGCACTCTTTGTCATGGCAGATAATCTTGTACTTTCCAGTGATCATAGTAGTGATAGCCTTCATCTTCATACAACTGTTGTGGATATAATGAGAACAGTCCTTCAATGGTCTTGCCTTCCTGCTTATCTTGTGGCAAATTGTGCACTTGTGAGCAATCTCCTCTTCAGTTTCTTGGGAGGAAGCTTTCTCTTTGGCTTGAGGTGTATCACTCTTCTTAGAGTTCTTCATATTTATGATATCCTTTTCTTCTTCTTTGAAATCTTTACTAGACTCTTTTTCTTTTCTGCATGAATCTTTATCTTTATAGTCTGACTTAGATCCATGTACAAGGGAGTAGGAAGCAGAGGTGGAAGAATCAGCACCCTCCATGTTCTTATCCAGCTTCTTGTAATCCCTCTTCTTCATGTTCTCCCTGTGCTTACCAAGATTGTAGGTCAGCAGGAAGGAAGAATACATTAACAACTTCTGTTTGTCCTCATTGAGTCCCATTTCACTAGCACTTTCTTTCCAATCTTGAAACAAAGAAGCCCAATCCTCAATAGAATGAGATTGATCTTGTATAAGAGTCGCTAGTACGAGTCCGTCCAGAAAGGTACCTTTCTCAGTAGCCTGCATACATTTTGTCCAAGTCTGTTTGGTCTTTGATAAGCTCATAAACTAATAATTACAATTTTCAGTATTATTTTTTCCAAAAGGGGTTTTGGGGTTTTGGGGTTTTGGGGTTTTGGGG